GTTGATTGCATCAACTCATTGACTCAAAAGCAATCCCTCACACTAAGCATGCTTGTAGCGACAGTGGAGTGGAAAAACTCCCTTTTAACAGGAAGAAACCTCCAGCAGAACCAGGCTCAGTGTGAGCGGCCATCTGCTGAGGCCGACTGGGGTTCAAGAAGACAGAAGCAGAGAAACAAAAAGCAGCTGTAAAAGGTGGCACCTTCCAGGAAACACACAGCCAAGCAGATGAGCTGTGAGCCAACTCTCATGGCAGAGGATGAAGAGAGTACATCTAGCCAGTCACAGTCAGAGAAACAGGACTACACTGGAAAACAGGCCGATCTCAAGCATCAATAAACAAGGGTGTTGATGGAAGCAGTACAGCTGATATTTCTCTCCAGGATGGTGTCACAGCCAAACAGGAACCGACGAGGCAAAGCTACCATGAGAAAAAGCAGAGAGAGCATAACGTTAGAGATAGAACTAACAGATTCTGCAGACTGGGATGAAGGGTGTAACATCTTCAGCTTGCTTCTGTGTCGGGAGAGAATAATTAACCTTTGTAGTGATGTGAGCCTGGATTTATTCATTAATATTCTATAGTTACCGGTATTTATCACCTGAACACCAGAAAATGAAACCCTAATGTTCTATACGCAGACTGAGATCTTCTTCCAGTGCTTAAGTAATTATAACTTCCTTTAGCTAGAAAATGGGTGGGCGTCTTTTTGTAAGCAGAGAAAAGTGCATCTTTATTAGTCCTGATGAAGAGTCTACATAGCATAAAATGCCATTAAGGGACATTATTAGGTCACTGCTAAAACACTTAACTAAATTCAATTACAATGATATCAGTGTGGGGTGTATATGATGTCTAATTTTATCACTCATGCAAGTTTCTTGACTTCCAAAACAAAAAAAAGCTTGAAGCAGTTTGATTTAGAGACAAAATGCGAAATGCAACAGGTTTCAATAAATGCTGTGGCAGTGCAGTGAGACTTATACACTGAGCACTCTTCAGTATTACAGTTGATAGCTTGAGGGTGACGCTAATGCTGGTTCCACTGATGCTGCAGTTAGTTTGACATAAGATGAGATCTTCATTACTTTGAGTTTGTGGTGGAATATCTTTGAATTTTGGATTTTTTTTTCTACTACAAAATAAATTCTGAATTTTTGAGTTCAACAAAAGGATTGGCACAAATCACAGGTATATAAATTCCCTTCTCAGGATTTGGTCTCCTGCATGGTTTTAGATTTTACTCATGTTCATTAAATGGGCTTTTAAATGAATATGTACTTTGCATCTTTCTGCAGATGTTAGAAATGTATGAATAATCAGTTTATATTAAGAAAACAAATGTTGTTAGTTTGAATTTAAGCAGTTATATTAAGACAAACTGAATGCTTCTTAGTAGGCAAAATGCTGTGTTAGATGCGTTGCCATGGAGCTTACTGAGAAATTAGATGTTTTTTTTTTGTTTTTTTATCCCTCCCTGAATCTGGCTGTCAAGCTAACGATTAATTATCTTTAAATATTTATTTAGGCCCCAGAAATTTGCACAAATTGCCTCTTCACCCTGTCTGCACTCTCAAACCACAAAAGAAAATCAAGGATTTGAGATCAGGGGAGGCAAATGAGAAAATAAATTCCCAGGGGCCTCGGCTAATGAAAGCACATTAGCAGTTGCACCGTGTAGAAATCCACCAGTTCGTCATAAGCAATTTTCAGTCCCCGACCAACTTATTGCAACAATATGGCTGCTTGCTGCGCAGCTCAGTGGAGGACGCGTGACATTATTACAACCAGGGGTTAAGGCGGAACATCCTGCAGTGGGGGAAAGCTGATAAAGCGTATCAACATTTAATGATTTTGATGTCAAATAAAAACACTTAACATTTACTTTACCTGTTGAGTTTGAAGCTGAGCAGGAGGAGTGCACACTGGTTTTTAATATGTTCATTTGACTGCAGCAAATACGCACGCATTCTCCACGGCTCCGCTGTGTCTTTTTAATGCTGCTGTTCCTATTGCCTCATAATTCTCTTGCCTCACTCTATTCTTTATTATTGAGCTCCACTTTCCTCCTCTACCCTTCTCTGCTGCCTTCATTTCTCTTTTTCGTCACAACTGCAGCAGGTAGTCATGCAAATAGCCCAAGGAGCTCCCCACGAGGTCCTCTGTAGGCTGTTTCTCTTCTTGCACTGCCACATATAAGTGAATGATGGTGTAGGGGTGACTGCAAACTGAGACACTCGGGATTTCCATCGGGAACGTGCCGTCCAATGAATGCAGTGACTTCTCAAACTAGAATATATGTTCTAATGTGGTTACTGCAATAACCTTGTAGCTTAAGTGTGCACACCCTTGAAATAATACTTTGCTGAAGCACTGTGAATTCATTTTTGGTATTCAGTCTCCTTGATTGTACACCTGCCACTGATTATAGTTCATTGGAAGAACTTGGAAAGTAACTTAAAAACTATTTGTTTTGTATGTTTTTAAAGCCACTATTTAGTAAATAAATGCTTAAAATGGTATTTTTGACGAAATTATTTGTCAATTGCAACTGCTGCCTCACCCCCAGTGACATGTTCAATGTTGCCAACAGTAAAATCACTGCTGCACTTACTTACTCTGACTGCAATCTCATTACATTGTTGTATGCTGTATGCAACAAAATTTTGTTTTGTATATAATATATGCTTGCAAAATTACAATAAAGTTAGTCTAATTCTAAAAAAATGTCACTGGTTGTGATCTACATGCACCCATAAACTCCCTGTATTGGTATATCTCTGCTAAGGAGCATGGCTGGAAGACAACTTTTATTGTCATTTTATACACTCACCGGCCACTTTATTAGGTACCCCATGCTAGTAACGGGTTGGACCCCCTTTTGCCTTCAGAACTGCCTCAATTCTTCGTGGCATAGATTCAACAAGGTGCTGGAAGCATTCCTCAGGGAGTTTGGTCCATATTGACATGATGGCATCACACAGTTGCCGCAGATTTGTCGGCTGCACATCCATGATGCGAATCTCCCGTTCCACCACATCCCAAAGATGCTCTATTGGATTGAGATCTGGTGACTGTGGAGGCCAATTGAGTACAGTGAACTCATTGTCATGTTCAAGAAACCAGTCTGAGATGATTCCAGCTTTATGACATGGCGCATTATCCTGCTGAAAGTAGCCATCAGAAGTTGGGTACATTGTGGTCATAAAGGGATGGACATGGTCAGCAACAATACTCAGGTAGGCTGTGGCGTTGCAACGATGCTCAATTGGTACCAAGGGGCCCAAAGAGTGCCAAGAAAATATTCCCACACCATGACACCACCACCACCAGCCTGAACCGTTGATACAAGGCAGGATGGATCCATGCTTTCATGTTGTAGACGCCAAATACTGACCCTACCATCTGAATGTCGCAGCAGAAATCGAGACTCATCAGACCAGGCAACGTTTTTCCAATCTTCTATTGTCCAATTTCGATGAGCTTGTGCAAATTGTAGCCTCAGTTTCCTGTTCTTAGCTGAAAGGAGTGGCACCCGGTGTGGTCTTCTGCTGCTGTAGCCCATCTGCCTCAAAGTTCCACGTACTGTGCATTCAGAGATGCTCTTCTGCCCACCTTGGTTGTAACGGGTGGTTATTTGAGTCACTGTTGCCCTTCTATCAGCTTGAACCAGTCTGGCCATTCTCCTCTGACCTCTGGCATCAACAAGGCATTTCCGCCCACAGAACTGCCGCTCACTGGATGTTTTTTCTTTTTCGGACCATTCTCTGTAAACCCTAGAGATGGTTGTGCGTGAAAATCCCAGTAGATCAGCAGTTTCTGAAATACTCAGACCAGCCCTTCTGGCACCAACAATCATGCCACGTTCAAAGTCACTCAAATCACCTTTCTTCCCCATACTGATGCTCGGTTTGAACTGAAGGAGATTGTCTTGACCATGTCTACATGCCTAAATGCACTGAGTTGCCGCCATGTGATTGGCTGCTTAGAAATTAAGTGTTAACGAGCAGTTGGACAGGTGTACCTAATAAAGTGGCCGGTGAGTGTATACACAGAATGTATGCAAAAGAAAATTTTGTTTTGTACAGCTTTTATGACATTTCTATTTCTTGTGCAGCAGTGATCAAATATAAACAGTGTGGGAGGAAAAAAACACAGTGGCATTCATATGGAGGTTCAGAGCATTAAATATATATGGTGCAATTATGCAGTGTTTTGGTTTGGACAAGACAGATGTGATTTTCAAACAAAACATCAAAGCCTTATTAAGAATGCCCTAAATACAGTTTGTTTTAAAAAACTGAATTTAAAAGTTTATTCCCAAAGGTATCTTTGGAACAGAAGCACAACAAAGTGAGCACCATATTCAGAGTCGAACATGGGGGTTGCAACATCATGTTCTGGGGCAGAAATTAAGTTATTAAGGTGGAAGAACTTACGAGTCTTTAAACACAAGTCAGTTTTAAATAAATACTTTAGGTGTCTGCTAAAAGGCTTTAAAGGAAGATAGATCTTACTTTGCAGTGCCACACTTACTTCTAAGCACATAGCCAAATTTACATAGAAAAACCTTGCTTTCAAAAAGGAACATTCAGGAATTACCCCTTAAATGTGATCTGGCCAAATGACAACATACATTGAAATATAGTTTATGAGATCAGTTTGAAAAGGATTTTCAGGAATTGATTTAAGGGTGTGCAAACTGATATCACATAGTTGTTGCACCGCTTCGATTCCGATTTTTTCTTTACCAGAAAAATGTCACATTTGGAATTGGCCTCAATTTATTTCACATGGTCTAATTTTGCTCACATAGGATAATCCTGGCACTTTGACATCTGTTACTGTGTGTTTGAGCCTCTGTATGTCCATGGTTTTAGTGGCTTCATACATCCTGGTCAGTGTTTTCCTCATGCCAAGGGAGCTTTATCACCCTGCAGCGGTTTGACCCTTGCACAGTTAATGGTACCAACATGTCTTGTCTCTGTCTCTTCAACAGGCTCTACAAAAGATGTGACTTGTGGAATACATGCTCTGCCCCCTAACCAGATACTCGCAACTAAAGTGCCACATTTCCTGCTGCACCTCCTGTCAGTGCAATCTCTTTCCTGGAACATGTCTATCTTATGGGCCTTGGCTAACTCAACACCTGGGGTTCTTTACCCCTGCCTCGTTAATCAGTAAAAAGGGCTGACATTAATAATCTCTAAAGACTCTCTGATTGCATTCGTTACTAACCCCTTTGATCATGGAATCTCAGTGGAGTCCAACTTTTCCTCTCTACTCTCCCTCTGTTGTCTTCCTGCTGCTGGCTACTTCTTACACCTGGCTGTTTCCCATCACTGCTCCTCAGCGAGTCCCTATAGACCCCCAGGGAGCACCGGAATACGCTCACTCCATCCGTCTGGATGGCGATATCATTCTCGGTGGATTGTTCCCGGTGCATTCGAGGGGAGATCGTGGGACGCCATGCGGAGAGCTGAAAAAGGAGAAGGGCATCCACCGCCTGGAGGCCATGATGTTCGCCATCGACCTGATCAACAAGGATCCTGAACTGCTGCCCAACATTACTCTGGGAGCTCGAATCTTGGATACCTGCTCCAGAGACACGTATGCTCTGGAGCAGTCCCTGACGTTTGTGCAGGCCTTAATAGAAAGGGATGGCTCGGATGTCCGCTGCGCTAACGGAGACCCTCCGATCTTTACCAAGCCTGATAAAATTGTGGGCGTGATTGGGGCTGCGTCCAGCTCTGTTTCCATCATGGTGGCCAACATTCTGCGCTTGTTCAAGGTAGGATTCTCTTTGGTCTTTTTCTCTCTCAGCTGTAAAGGTATTCAACTTCCTACTGCAAATACAAAACATGTGTTATTGAAAGTGACTAACAATTGTGAAGTCAAAGGAAAATAATTAATTTCTAAATTGTGGCTGCATTTTTTTCTTTTACCCCCCCCCAAAGTTGATATGTTTCAGAGGCACCTTTGGCTGCGCAATTTAAGTTTTGCTACAGTTTCTCAATTGGATTTGGGTCTAGACTTCCACTGGGCTAATATAACAATGTCAATGCTTAGATTAAAATCACCCTAGTTTAGCTCTGGCTCTTAAGGGTCATTGTCCTAGTGGAGAGTAAACCTGCACTAGTCTCAAGTCTTTTTCAGCCTCTAACAGGTTTTCTTCCAGAGTTCTGCCACACTTCTATAGGGATCTTGACCTGCTTCCTTTTACCCTTTTTCTTTAGAAGGAAATCATCCCTAAAGCGTAACATTGTCATTCTCAGGTGTAATGACGACAAAAAAATGTCAGATTTGTTTTAAAAAAGCCTTTAAAACCACATTCTGTTTTTCTTCCACTATAGTTGAGGACAATTTTTGTGTTGGGTCTATTACATAAAAAAACAATCTCCATAAGATACAGTCAGATCATTGTTGTAACTTGACAAATTGTGTAAAGGTTAAAGGGGGATGAACACTTTTTCAAAGCACTACACATGCTGAATCATTGCCATCCCACGCACATCCAACCCCTTCACCCATAGGCACTGGCAAGATAAAGTTCAGTGACGACAGCCATTTAAAGCGTTATCGGTTTCTGCAGCAGTGACACCTCTTTCTTCACCAGTTGCAGGGAAAAAGATAGCGTGTGCTTTTGCCTTTTGAAGCCTAAAGTGTGATTTCAATCAAACATTCAGATGCGTGTGTGAAGGAGAAACTGATGTGTCAAGTGATGCTTGTAAGTAGGTTTGGGGTTGAGCAATATAATAATAAAAAGAAAGCAGCCGAGGGTGGGTGTCAATTGCAAACGGAATCTGTCAACATCCACTTCATTTCCTGCAGCCTACGGTTGTTTATGCACACGTGTGTCGCCTGCGAGGACGCCGCTTTGTGATGCGTGTTTTCTAGTACATGTGTGGGCCTAATTGAGTGTCCTCGTGAGAATGAAACTCTTTTGTGATCGCTCTTTTTTTTTTTTTTGCGTCCTTTCCTGAAGCTTTTGTTCATTTCATCCACATCTGGCCAGGTGTGTGTTTGAGTATCTGGGAGTGTGCACCCATTGTCATCATTAGCTGCGCTGAGCTGACTGATAGCAGTGCGTTCATGAAATACGAGTCCAGTAATGACACCCGTGGCATTTTTCACATCCACATTTATCCCACGCTATTCCACAGTGTGACCACACATTTCTTAACACAGAGAAATCCATATGCTTGCTTGTGTGTGTGTAGAAGATTTTCCTGTGTTTCAAGACGCACATGTTAACAACCGGCTTGAGCTTTGAATGGAGGATTTGCATATTAAACAACAACAACAACAACTAAACATGATTTATTCCAGGATCTGTCACAGCAACAGCCCTCAAACAGAGTGCTTTTTCCTGCCTCTGCGGTGACTCGCTCTCATTTGCCTAATACGATTTGCAGCCTCGCGCGTGTCTGTGTGCTCGCTTGAACTCGCAGTGTGTGCACACGCCACGTGCCGCTATTGTACGTCCACTGATAATTTGTGTGTGGGTGTCTTCAGCATATTTTTTTTGCGGGTTTCTCTCTTTTTTTCCTGTGAGTGTGTGTGCAGGATCTGTGTGATATGACAACTTCTCGCCTGTGGCTGTGCTAACACATGTCTCCAAACTGTATCTGTCAAACTGCATGCTTCTACATAAATAAAACACCCCCTCTCTGCAAATCGTAGGTCGCAAACACATGTCGCATGAATATATTTCAAGAATACATATGTCTTTTTAAACGGGCTAATCCGACAGTGTCAGTCACAGCCAGTCGCCCACTCGAGACAAGAGGGGGACGGCCCGGAAGCAGAGCAAGAAACAAGGTCTGTTTATGTTTCTTTTTAAATCTTGCAGCAAACAAGTGAGATTCAAACAACAGATTGTGTAAAAGGCAAAAAAAAAAATCTCCCCCTTTTTTTCTTCCTGTGCTTTAGCAGCAGAGGGAGCCCCTTGCTGAGAGTCACAGTGGAGAGAAATCAAATCAAACAAGAGTCGTTGATGTTTCTTTTGTTCACTGTTCCTCGTTTGAAGATTATTGCATCGCACTGTGGGATGATTCAGAGCAGAGAGAGGCGGGGCTCAGATAAGATAGAACTTTGGTAAATCAGAGGAAAGCGGGCCATCGCAGCTGCATGTTGCAGAGGAAAATCTGCTAAAACTGAGGAAAAAAAATCGGATCTAGGATATTTAATTTATACCAACATGAGTGTTATCCTGTGTATTTCTGCCTGCTATTTCTCAGAAAGCTGCATCAGTTTTAAACATTGCATGAATGCAAATATTTGTGTTAAGCTTAGATAACTCTTTAAGGAAACCTAAAAATCTTATGCCCTGACCTGATAACTGCCTGCTCTTTCTCCTTTTTTTTTGTGCGACCTGGAAATTTTAATATGGAACAATGTTGAAAAAAATTCAAAATACATGCATTAAAAGTTTTTTTTTTTTTGTCTCTAAAATCGTCCGTTTTACAGCCATTTCTCCTCCTGAGTGTGAACGTACAACTGCAGATTATAAAATCAGCTTCTGTGCAAATCTGTCGCAATCAGATATGCATAATTTGTTGTTTTGATCTGTAACTTTTCCTGCCGTTTAAACTGAAGTTAAAACTTCAGGATGGAAAACTTTATTAAAGCCACAAATTATACTGACTGACTTTATAGAATATACAATATGAGAGTTTCACAAGTCTGGCATCAACATCTATTTTCTCTCAAGTCAAAGATTCAAGTGTTTCTTCCCAACTGAATCTAGTTATTTTTAATACATTTTGTTTGCACAATCGACTTACTGCTGCAGGTGAATACTGGGCTATTGGAGAAAATAGAACAAATTTGTTCATATGAGTCCATAAATGGAAAACGGCTGACTCCTGTTGCCATAGATTGAAGTAATAAAGTTAGCCAAAAACTATGTTAGAGGAATTGCCGTGGTGTTGAGTCAGCCGTTTTTGTCGTTTTTATTTTCACTGACTTACTTACTAGGAATCTTTCAATCTAGTTTTCATAATTAGTTTTTTAGGTTGCTTAAACATCCTTTTTCTGTTACTTTGGCAAATGAAAAGTGTCTTTAAAAAGGTGTCTTTTAGAATTTTAATGGACAAAGTTGTGTGTATTGAATACAGGTTCCTATTGAAGCTTTTTGGAATGGATGGATGATTGGTGAGAGTTACCGTATTTTCACGACTATAAGGCGCACTTAAACGTCTTTTTTTTCCCTCAAAATGTGCGGTGCGCCCTATGGTGCGGTGCGCCCTATGTGTGTTGTAACTGCGACTTTTGAGACCACCTCATTGAGGAGATGATGAAAGAGTGGCTGAATGTAAGGAGACCAGGTGTTTTTTTTTCCACCCCTCACCATCGCTGTTAATATGTAACTCCATGCATTCCCATCTCACAGCTGATGTGAAAAACATGGGGAAACAAATTAACGCTGTGCTCGCTGTTCAACCGCTCGACATCGGTGTGAACCGGACCCAGCAGGTGCAGCAGAAGCAGCGAGTTTACATGCAAAGTCAATGGTTGACGCGCATATAGGTGCAGCAAAAGGTCCTGCAGCGCGTTTTGGTGCAGCACGTCGGGAGCGTTTAAGCATCTGACGCACCGCCAACGCGCTGCTGCTGCTCGACATGGAAAAATTTAAGTTTTGCTGCTGGACGCGCCGCATCAACCAATCAGAGAAGCTGATCTGGGAGCTGACAGCGAGACAGTACAGCGCTCTGATGACATATGATATTAACGCAAATGAAAAGGCTGGATCGATGAGGAGATGATGAAAGGCAGGTGTATCTGAGAAGACTAGGTGGTTTTTTCCACGCATCACCATCGCTGCGTGCCCATCTCACAGCCGATGTGAAAAAAAGATGAATCAAATGAACGCTGTGCTCGCCGTTATCCCGGGGGTCTGACAAAGGAGCTTCCACCGCTCGACATCGGTTTGAAGCGGCCGTTCACAGTAAGGCTGCGAGCGGCGTGGGAGCGATGGATGACCGACGGAGACCACAGTTTCAGGATAAGAAGGCAGCGCCGGGCAGATTACGCCACCGTTTGCGGATGGATTGTAGATGCTTGGACTAACGTGTCTGCTGGCTCTGTTGTTCAAGCTTTCGCAAAAGCCGGCATTATTTCTGAGGAGCTGCGCTGCACGGAAAGTGACTCTGACAGCGCAGAAGGGGAAATTGGCATGTCTGATTTAGCGCAGCTGTTTAATTCAGAAACAGAGGATGATGACTTTGATGGGTTTGATTAATACTTTGTAATAAATACATGAATAAAGCACAATCATACTCAGTTTTGCTCCCGCTGTATTTTTCTCCCTGAAAACTTAATTCAACAGCAGCCCCGGCGCGTCTCCTCCTCTTCATCGCGGTGGCTGGCAGGTGTTTTTTCATCTAAATAATCTAAATCTTGCAGCTATATTTGCTGTGATCAGTGGGAATAAAGTAGTTTTAATATGTTTTTAAGTGAGAAAGTCCACCTGAAAACTTCATAATTGCAGTCAGTTCATCCAGATTATCTATTTCTGTCGGAGGCGCTCAGACCCCCACATACCAGCGGTGCGCCGACAGGAGAAATCCTTTCGTTCACCGCGGCTGCTGGCAGGTGTTTTTCATCTAAATAATCTAAATCTTGCAGCTATATTTGCTGTGATCAGTGGGAATAAAGTAGTTTTAATATGTTTTTAAGTGAGAAAGTCCACCTGAAAACTTAATAATTGCAGTCAGTTCATCCAGATTATCTATTTCTGTCGGAGGCGCTCAGACCCCCACATACCAGCGGTGCGCTGACAGCAGAAAT